ACTTTATATTTTTGCTATTTTTGGGTGTAACTGGTACCCTGAGTACATATTTTTGTTCCATCTCATGTACCACATGTGATGAGAATGACAATAAAATTGACTTGAACTTGAGCTAGTTTGTTGAGAGCTTTGTAGGTAAGTAAGATTTTGAATTCAATTCTGAATTTGACAAGGAGCCAGTGGAGAAAAGCTTAAACTGGAGAAAATATCTCTTCAATGATTGGATAGATTTTAATAAAACCTTCTTCAAGTAGTAATTAGATGAGCTTTATCAAATAATTGACTTTTGGGGTGGATCCAATTCAAGATGGGCTCAGCAGCTAATTCACATTAGCTAACAGAAGGCTGTAAATCAGTCACACTTACAGAACTGGGGTACAGTTAGATGTGGTAGTAGCTGAGAGTCATTTAGATCATATTCTCTAAGCATCTTGTGACAGGTGGCTAGAGGTGGTTTGGGTTATCTGAAGGTGTGGTGTTTGACATGGTCCAGCCCCCACACTGGACAGCTTCCTGTGGATTGTGTCCACTTTTTTCATCTGTTGTTCATGTTTTTAAAACATGGATGCTAAGAGGTTGTGCTGTCACTGATCAGGGTTGTGATAGCATTCTGTTTTTATGCAGGTTTTGTTTATCTTTTGACTTCTCCCCAGAATCAAGAGCCAAAATACGGCAACAGATAAGCCTGTTTAAAACCTTGAGAAGCATTCTGTTGTTTCACCTTTGGTACACGCCGATGTGTAGTCTAGTGGAGCAACCAAGCCGAACCTAAACAGCTCTAAAGTGAACCTCTCCCCATTGTGTTGTCCTTTGTGTCTTTATCTCCCACCCAAGAAATGTTGTGCTTTTGTTGTGCGCTTGTGTAAACAGGCTGTGTGAGAACTCGGTGAATCGAAGCAGGTGGCCACTGAAGTTTTACTGTCATGAGCATTAAAGAAAAACAGAACATGGAGAAGGGTCAAAGCACAGCTGCACGGGCCAACCTTACCTTGAATCAACCACTGACTTGTTTGAGTTGTCGAATTCCAGGCGAGGATGACGACAGAGGGACCGGCATTAGATTTCCAACAAGGAGCTGACTGATGAGTTCTGGCCGCCGGCTGTTCTTAACCTTCAACCTGTCTCGGTCAGGTGGGAGGCACATGTGACTCGTGTTTGTACTGTACTCCCCCCCATCTGAGGCAGAGAAAAGAAAACAAACTGTAAACAAACAGAAACCCTCCATTTTTATTATTGAAGGTCTTTTCCAAACACTTACATTTTGCAGGTGACTCCCACCTGAACATCGGAGAGACACCTATTAATTAGCAGCACAGTCATTTTTTTGTTTCTGCAGTCCGCTGTAATGTGTTGATCTGCAGGAATTATTTGAATTCCCCTTTTTAACTTTGTCTTATTGCGATAATAAAAGAACTTACATGCTCTATTAAAAATAATAAACGCCTTCTTTGGTGTGTTGTCTCGTGATGGAGAGTTTGATCTTGAAACATGCAAATCTAACCCCACTAACTGCACTCCTTTTAACAGGACACTTGACCCATGATTAAAGCTACATTTGTGCATGTTGTAAAAATTAATCATATGGAGAAAAAAAAAACTTTTAGCTCTTTCAGTCATCAGACATGAAGGATCCGCTGAGCAAAGGCAAAATAAACAGATGGGTAAACAAACGGCGGGCCAAGGCCCCGGTTCCAGCTCCTGATGGTCTCCCTGCCTCAGTGCTCCACAGATTAACACTGTTATCAGCACAACTCTCTAATAAGGCACTTTCCTATCTGCTTGATATTTATGATGGATAATGCCCATTTTCCATTTTCTTTTTTTTTCCTCCAATTTTTTTCCATTCATGATATTGCAGCTTTGAATTATTTTGTGGTGAAATTAATGAGAAAGTAGATTTATGGGTTTCATTTGTTTGTCAATTCAAAAATTAATTGGGTGTTAATTTTAGCCGTCCCCTCATCAGTGCCGCTTCCCAGCATGCACGCATTACTTTGCATTCATTGTAGCCGTTCTCTCCTTTTATTGTGGGTCACTAGTTTTGCATACATTAAAATAGCCCTGCGGCTCATTCTCTTGATTACTTTTGGAGATGCCGTGCGTTCAGAAACTTAGCACTCTCCATTACAATTATGAAAATTGTGCATGGGTTTGCAGAGCATGCATTATAAGCAACCCTTTATATCCAGTGTAAAAATATGTATATATATTGTACAGCATTTATTTTTTGAAAAATAGCCCTAACCATTTGCACATGGTTTACTTCAAATGACATTTAATTTTGTTCAGAAACGTGCACTTCTAATTGGTGTTTCAGAACGAGCGCTGGTGCAAGTGAGGGCCTGTAGATGGAGTAAGTGGCCGGCTGCTTCCCACCCTAGTACTTCTTTTGCTCCCTCCTTGTTTAGAAAATCCTATTATGGAGGGAGACTGCCAGACTAAAAAGGGGTGAGCCAGGTCAACATCTGTCTGGAGTTGGAAGGGGCCGGCCGGCTCTAGTCCATCCCAGAGAATGGGATCTGGATGCTGGGCCAAGCTGCACAGACAGGCCCAGAAAGTGTGGGGGCGTTGTGACACACAGTTGAACCGAAATACAGGCAAGTGTCGGATCAGTCATGCAGTTGCACTTCTTGCAAGGGTGCTCCTAAAGTGGAGACATAAACCACAGTGCACTTTTATTTGGGGACAGTTTTAGTCCAAAACTGCTCAAAATGATTCTGAGCTGGAAAACTCTCCCTGACAGTGCAGCTCTGCTGATCAGACTGCTTTTTCTGTAATCCCACATCTAGATTATTATCTCACCTATGCTCTGTAAATATTCTTGTGTGACAAGTTGTCAACCTCAATTTCCCATCTGTCAGTCTGAGTGTGTGTCCCTGCGGTGTCTGGGAGGGCCTGCATCTTGTTTAGACCTGATCTCCAGGGACCCGTCTGCCTGTGCAGCAGAGCTCCGTGCAGATGAACTCATGCTGGCCATCCTATTACACGCCCTAAATGCAACTTCATAAATCTGCATTTAGTTCCATTTTCACATTCTTCCACGATGAAGCACAATGTTTTAAAGGCATTTATTCTGCTTCATATAAATAATTAATCAGCCAAGTTAATTTGCTTCTGCCTGACTTGGTCAGCTTCATTAACCGGCCTGGAATTGGGAGGCTAGACGCGTTGTGCCGAAGAGGCTGGTGACCAGCACGCGATGGCTGTAAATCACTCTGCTGATTTGAGGAACACGAGTGCAGATATGCACTGGTGTCACTGGAGTTTATCCCCTGGGACACAAGGGAAGTGTGTGTGTGTGTGTGTGTGTGTGTTAGTTTTTAACACTGATAACTGCTTGTATTTTTGTACGTTAGGCATGCTGTTATTCTTAAACAGCTCTGCTGGTACCGTATTTTCCACTGTACATGTCGCAAAGCTTTATAAGTTACATCAGTCCAAATATGTCTAATAAAGTGGAAAAATCCATAAATACGTCACTTCGCCGTATACGTTACACCTATTATGCGTCACCGCTGACAACCCGGAAATGTGGGCCGAACCTGGAAATGTGAGCCATTGTTGTATCAAAAATCGATTGGCTGCCAAATGGCAGCCGCAGGAGCGTGCACAGGAGAACTTTAACAATAACTTAACCAAATTAACACTTAAAAACAATTATTTGTTTGCTCGAAATTATAGTAAAGGTGTGTCTCAGTCTAACTTTTGCTTAATAAATGCACTTCAATAGTCAAATCAGCTGCATTTCAAAACCCAATTTGCGGCTGTGGGAACGCACAGAGAAACGACTCGCTGTGCATTTCTTCGAAATTTAACAATATAACCACCTAAAAACAATTGTTTGTTTGCTAGACTTTATAGTGAAGGTGTGTCTCCATTGAACTTTTACTTAATAAATGCACTTCAATAGTCAAATCAGCTGCATTTCTCTGGGGCGGCGCAGCGAAATGAAGCTGATCTGACGATTGCTCCAAGTGAGCAGAACGAAGGTGGCAAACTTTGGCAAGCCAATTGTGTCATTAATAGCCACTTTTACCTACTACATGACACAACGGCATGCCATACTACTCGAGTACCATCTAGCAGCTGAAAATGATAGTGTTCAATATTTTCAGTCAGAATGAATGAAAACGGTCATATCTCAGCCAAAAATTGTTTATAAATATTGGAAAAAATCCATAAATACGTCGCTTCGGCCTGTAAGTCGCAGGGCATGTAAATTATGCAAAAAAACACAACTTATACATAAAAAAAAATATGGTATTTGTATGTTAAACTCTTGAGTTAGATTGGATTATGAAAGACTATTTTCTTACAGCTCCAAAAGGGTTATTTAAATTCAGACTTGTATTTTGGTGTTAATTGAGCACTCCTCCTGGATTTGTCTTTTTTTTGCTCGGCTTCAGATTGGACGTTTCTCAAGGAGATCCTTTGGCAGGCCTCACACACACTGGCCCTGTTTCCCATTAAAAAGCCATTCTGCCGTGGTTCTTCAGGGAGCCATGCGAGTAAATATATCCATTTCCATAGAAAGTGTTTTGTTTTGGAGGTCCAGTGTTTTCTTGGGCTCCTTTGCTCCCACTCAGCTCAGGTTGGGTTCCTTTCCTATGTGTGCTGGACCCCAGCCCCTCACCACACCCCCACACACATTCTGTATTGGCGAACACAAACAAAACCTGAGCCCCGCTCACGTCTCCCGATCCCTGTATGAACTTGTCATCTGCACAGGGTTTGCAACAGAATCAACAAAACAAAGAAGAGTTCAGTGCACTGTGGAGGAGGCAGTCTGGGAGAGTTTCACCTCGCTGCATATGTTGCCAACAAGCAAACAAACAAGACGCAGAGAAGCACAAACCGACAGGAGGAACCTGAAGTGTAATTGTGTGGGAAGAGTACAGCAGATGTTTGTAGTTTGGTCCACTGAAATGTGACCTCATGGCTGTGTGTTTTAACAGCTGTTCCTGTTTTCTGTTTTTCTGCCCTTCTCTCAGGTTTTTAAGTCATGATGCAAGAATCTGGGACTGAGGTGACAAGCAACGGACCAGCCAATCAGAATGGAGGCGCAAACGGGGAAGGCGTACCCAGGGAAGTACGGCCCAACAGTGCCACGCCATCAGTGGACGTGACTGCTGCAGATCTCCTGAATCTCCAGCAGCACCAGGTACACCAGTCCTCCGTTCACACCTGTCCTCACTTTATTAAGTCCTGTCAACAGCAAGTCCAACCCGATGCTTAGAGTGCCACTTAAATATTTAATTCCAGCCCAAAGTACATCTCATAAGTAAACACATTATTATGATTATTTATGTATATTGAGGCCCATTTTGAATATTTTAGGAAGGGGAAGTGCTTTTTCTTTGTGCTTGTGTTTGGTTGTGAGTGTGTTTATTGTACCATGCAGCATCTGCATTTTGCTAAAATATTTATTATTGTGCTCAGACATCTTTTAGGTACATAGGTGCTGCGGGATTTTGTAGACAGTTTACAAATATGATGTCCCGTCCGATGACAGCGTTTTCCTCTGGCTCGTTGTAAACACACCTCACACTCAGCTAATGCCACGCTCTGTTGTGTTAATCGTCGAGGTGCAGAGACGCACGCCGTCGCCGAAGCTGAAATATTTTTGCCATCACAGACCTGAGGCAAACAGACAAGCTCTTTCTGTTGGTGTCAGCGTTATATGTGGCACACGACAGCGTGTTTAAGGAAACGGCACTGAAAAGATCAGTGCGTCTGCTGCTATCTTGGTCTATCCGACAGCACAACTAGGGTTGTTGTCAAGAGCTGTTTGGTGATGATGCACAGGCTCTTTGCTGTTGTCTGTTGTCATAACACATCCATCAGGATGTGTACGGGAAGAAAAACAGTCCTGCAGCGTGGGACATGAGGAAGCAGCGATGTGTTTCAGACAGAGCAAAGAATCTGAGATTGAGCTCAGTTTTATCTTTTATTAGTGTGTGTATTTTGAAGCAGCAACATCATAGTGTTAATACTATGTATGTCAGCTACTATTAAACACAGTGTTATTATAAGGGATTTTTTTTTTGTCTCATTATAAAACATTTTGTGAAATCATGACCAAGTTTTACAATAAGAATTGGAACAGTCTAGATCAGGGGTATTCAACTGGCGGCCCACGGGCTGGAAATGGCCGGCTGGTGACTTCATTAAAATAAATAAATAAATTTAAAAAAAATTATATATATATATATATATCCATCCATCCATATAATTTTTTGTTTGTTTGTTTGTTGGGGTTCTAGCTTTGTGTTTTAAGTTCTGTTTATTGCATTTATAATTCAATGCAATAAAATCACTCTTTGTTAAATTCAGGTCTCTCTTGTAAATGAGTCCCCGAGGCTCAATGGGATTAACTTGTATAAATAAAGGTTGGAAAAAAAAATAAAAAAATTTAAAAGGTAACAGATCATTGTGATACTTGGTTTATTTACATAATGACTTTAATTGCTGGATGTCTGGCCCCCAAGCGAATGGCTTTCAGAAACGGTGGCCCCCTGAGCAGTTTTAATGAATAGCCCTGGCCTAGATGCACCAATCAGCCATAACATTATGACCACTTTGATAAAAACTTTTACCCGGACTGCCTGAATCCTGGCTTTCTGGTGTATGTTATCTGTGCTGCTGATTTCTTACCCATGAGCTGCAGTATTCATACCCATCTTCTCACAACAGACTCGGGTTCAGGCTGCTGTTTAGATACACCATATTATATGATATTTTTGTTATTTAGTTTATATCTTAGATTATTGTATACTGTTTTTTATATTATTGTTATTTTTGGGGAGTGGTGGCGCAGAGGTTAGAGAAGGTGGGCCTGTAATCGGAAGATCACCGGTTCAACTCCCGATACTGACAACATCAAAATGTAAGTGGGAAAGGTGAAGCACCCACACCTGCCTCCACCCTCATTTGCCCCACTCTGGGCCTTTGAGCAAGGCCCTTAACCCCCACCATCTGCTCCCCTGGGCACTCTAGATGGCAGCTCTCTGCTCCACACAGAGGGCTGTGGTAGTTCGGTGGTCTGTGGTCGTGTCAGGAAGGACATCCAGCGTAAAAACAATTGTCAAGTCTTAGTGCGAGATAGTTCTCCGTGGTGACCCCTGAAGAAGGGAGCAGCCGAAAGATGGGGGCGGGGTGTGTGTGTGTGTGTGTGTGTGTGTGTGTGTGTATATATATATATATATATATATATATATATATATATATATATACACACACACACACACAT